GAGGGTGTCGGCAATGGTATTGTCCTTGTCAGGTAGGTATGTACCAATGATGTTGATGCCTTGGCGAATGCACCAGCTCCATAGTGGTGTGGCTTCTGCACAAAAGGATTTCGACCTGGCTCCACCTTGACAGTTGATATAGTAAACTGTGGTGGTTTTGTCGGTAAGGACTTGAATCGTATGGTCACAAATTGTAGGTAAGAATGCTTTGCAGGCATTGAATACTGCCCTGAGCTCTAGAAGATTGATATGTTGAAGTGCTTCTGTCGGGGTTCATCATCCTCGTACATGTTCTCCTGCGCAATGAGCTCTCCACCCCAAAAGAGATGTGTCTGTTGTAATTTGTATGGTCGGTTGTGGGTGGTGGAAGGGAATGCCTGTAAGCATGTTGGTGGAGGAAGTCCACCATGCCAGGGAGCGTCATACTATTGGGGGCACCATCACTAGCCTGTGAACATCCTGGTTGCTCGGGCAGTATACTGAAGCTACCCAGTGCTGTAGGAATCTGAGATGGAGCCTCGTGTGTTGTACCACATAAGTTGTGGCCGCCATATGCCCCATGAGTTGTAAGCAGGTGAGTATGGAGACTCGGGGGCTGATAGAGATCGTACGAATGAGATCTTGTATCTTGTGAAATCTGGCCATAGGAAGATAGGCCTTAGCTGTTGTAGAGCCTAATCGTGCCCCCAATGAACTCGAGGGACCTTTGGGGCATGAAAGAGGACTTCTGGGTATTGACTATGAGGCCCAGGGCTGCAAATAACTCTCTTGTGATGTGGGTGGCCCTTAGTACCTGGTCGTAAGTGGGTGCCTTGATTAGACAATCCTCCAAATACGGAAATATCATGATGCCTTGACGATGGATATACGTGGCGACTACCGATAGTATCTTGGAGAAGACCTTGGGTGCAGACAATAGGCTGAACGGAAGGACTCTGTATTGGAAGTGTTGTGTGCCTATGACAAATCTGAGCAAGTGTCTGTGCACAGGATGTATCGTCACATGGAAATAAGCGTCCTGTAAATCGAGGGACGTAAACCAATATCCTGTATTCAGGACTGGAATGATAGAAGCTAATGTCACCATCTTGAACCTGTGTTTCCGTAGATATAGATTGAGTCGTCGAAGGTCCAGGATAGGTCTCCATCCCCCTGATTTTTTCTCGGTGAGAAAATAGTGAGAATAAAAACCTTTGCCCTGAAATTGTTTGGGCACTCTCTCCACTGCCCCAATATTTATGAGACGCAGCACCTCCTGCATTAGGAGAGCCTTGTGAGATGGATCCCTGAAGAGGGACAGGGGTGGGGGAAAGGTAGGGCGAGGAGAAAGAAGCAGTATAGCATAGCATGATGTTATCAGCTCTCGGACCCAACAACGGTGGTGATGGTGAACCACCTTTGTTGAAACGGTCGTAAACGAAGGTGAAAAAGCTTCTGCAATTCTGGTTGAGATTTCAGGGGAATGGTCCGCAGTCCCTTGACCAGACCGTCAAACTGGCTGCCTGTTATTGTGAGGGTTAGGTGCCCTAGTCGTCTGTGGACGCCGTTTCTGCTGGCAAGGTTTCTCCCATTGTTGTGGTTCATATTGCCTTTATCTAGCAGTGGCATATGAAAATGGTCATTGCCTATAATAGAGCACGTAGTGTTTAAGGTGGTATGGTGGTGTGTACATGCCGAGAGTCCTCAGAGTCATCCTCGAGTCCTTGCCTGAGTGGAGGACTTGGTCGGTATTTTCAGCAAACAGACTCTGCCTGTCAAATGGCAAGTCTTCTGCTTTTGCCTGTAGTTCTTTAATCACTGACGCCATCTGGAGCCAGGAGGATCTTCACATTATCACTGATGTTGCTGTGGTGAGAGCTGCTGTGTCAGCGATGTCTAAGGAGATTTGTAGAGCTGCCCTTGAGGCAGTATATCCCTACTGAACCATCGATTTTAATATTTGACGTTTGCCCTCAGGCAGGTGTTCCAGAAGCATCACCAACTTTGTATAATTATCAAAGTTGTGATTGGAGAGGAGGGCAGCATAATTCGCTATCGCAAAGTTAGCGTGGTGGACGAGTAAACCTCCCTTCCGAAGAGGTCTAAACATTCAGCATCGTTATTGGAGGAGGCATTTTTGTACTGAGGGGTTTTGGCTCTTTGTTGGGCAGCGTCAACAACCAATGAGTTTGGTTGCGGGTGTGTGAATTAAAATTCCATTCCTTTAGAGGGAACAAAATACTTTTTGTCCGCCCTCTTACGTGCTGCTTGGGAGGAAGCTGGTGTCTGCCAAATATCATTTGCAATTTCCAGAATTGCGTAATCTAACAGCCACGCCATTCTATTCTTTTGTGATCATTAAAGATTCTTCAGAAGCTTCTGTTGTACTTCACCCAGTTGTACCTCTTTGTGACTCTGCTACCCTTTTGAAGAGGTTGTGAAATTGTCTAATATCATCTATCGGGCAAGAATCCCTGAGAAAGACTACATCGTCCAGGGAGGAGGAAGACTGGTCAGTCGGAGACTCTGCCTGGAATTGGGTGTGTTCTGAAGTATACGTCTGTGGTGCCTCCGGTTGGCGTACTGGAGCAGATACATCTCCTGAGGGAGTTGGTGGTCTTGTGGATGGTTGAGGTGGTATTAGTAATCTGACACTGCTATGTGAATGTCGTCGATGGTACTGCGGAGACGTGGAACGAGAGTAATCGTAGGCATGACAATATCAGTGATAGCCATAGTGATGATATCGATCGTAGTGGTGTCGAGTTGCGGAGTTGTCAGGTGAGTATCTTCTCTCAGTTACATGGTAATATTTAGATTATGAGGATCGTGTAGGTGATCTAGGTGAATGAGATCTTCCTCTGGAATATGATGGAGAATGTGAATGTCTGTGGTGACATTGTGGCAAGGGTTAGTATTGCAGTGAGCGCCTGTGGTAGTGGCAGTGCGACTATCATGTTGTGACAGTACCGAGAACACCAAAGCTGGGGATGAAGGCTGAGGTGAGAAGACAGCTGGTTGCGGGCTAGGTGAAGGCTTCATTATCCTTCCGGATTTATGCATAGCTTTCCGTGATACCGAGGAGGATCATCTACAACTACGAGATACGTCTTGCCCCGATGCCAGAACCATATATGAAGGGGACACTGGTGTCTGCGGTGCTGGTACATCGCATGAGCTCGATGCTGCCTGAGTCGGTGCCGTTCAGCCCGGTGCCGAGAAACTCGGCGCCGACGGACTTGGTGCCAAGCTCGAGGTCTCTGAAGGGCTCATGAATGGTGCCGTGGACGGTGCCTGAGTGCTCGGTGCTGATGGACTCAGTGTTGGTCTTATTGCCGGTGTTGGTGTCGGTGCCATAACCGGTGCCAGCGCCTGGTGTGTCATCGGTGCCGACATGGCCGGTGCCGTTGACCTTTGCTTTCTCTGCACAGGTGCCGAGTTGGCTCTTGGGACTGCGGCCGTATGTGTGAAAGTAACAGAGATTTGCATTGCTAAGCTTCCTCCATCCCCTTCTCTCTGGGCAGGGATAGGGTACAGGAGTTGGGGGAGTAGGGACACCCTGACATCAGCATCCCCCCTTTTCCCTTCCAGACCCTTCACAGCAAGCAGGAGGCTCCCAGGGGGGCAGCTCCAAGGCAGAGGGAAGGAGCAGCATGACAGTGGGTGGAAGGGCAACTGCAGGGCCAGTGCACGATAGCTTTCTGGACAAACCAGTCAGGATCACCTGTCAGAGGTTCCAAGATCTACTGGTAGATCCTGATCAACTGATTGGTGACCACAGCCATATGACCCAACTGTAGTTGCAATTTCTGTCACACAAAGTCTTCATCTCAGGAGCCTCATGCAGAGCTCCCAAACTTGACTACTACAAGTTTCTGAAGGCGAGTCAGCTGGAACCTGAAAGGAAAATCACTGTCTGCAGTAGTCTGTATGATTTCTACTCCTCTTCTCCCTACCTCAGTTTCCACATTTCCCTTTCCTCTTTGTATAGCCTAGTCACAGAGCTAGGTAGGGCCTCCTCGATTCCACTCCAGGCTGTCCTTTAAAGAGGTAGTACACACCTTCACAGATTCATTTACTTCTGTGGAACTATGAGAATTTACACTGCTAAGGAGCTGCCCACAAGTACTGGTGGATCTCTCTCTCTCTCCAGGTATAGCCACATTCCCATATAAATTTTCATACCTGATCTAGAGATGAAAGTTGCTACAAGGGCTAAATAATGTTATTACCTTTCTTATGCTTCACTTAATCCATTTACCTTTCCTTTGGAAAAAAAAGACTTTATCTGATTCACTCTCTGCTGACAAAGTCTGTTGTCCCCCCCACCTCAACACTTGTTTATAGCTAACTTTAGTAATAGAAAATTTGTTAGCAACCTTTGCACACAGGTTGCGTGTTTAATATAAACATGAGCACTAGTGTCTGATTCAACCACTCAAGGAAGAAGTTTTAAAGAATAAAATCTAAAAAGATTCTGAAAACATGAAAAATCGTATCATGGATGCCCTATTAAAATTAAAGTTTTGAATGGCTGACTCTAGTGAAAAGGACAACATCCATCTGACAAGAAAACATGACATTGCTTCTACTATTGCTATCATTTCCTTTCCTAATTTGTTCCAGCTGCAACTTTCATGAATCTAGTAACATAGAGATGTGTGATATTTTAGTATGCTTCTTTTCACAGAAGAACTCAAGAACACGGATAAGGGAATGTAACATTGCACCCACCATGCCTATACACACTGCCCCTTCAATATTTAGAGTTTATTTTTACTGTATGCATCTTAACATTAATTGTTTGAAACACAGATTGGAATTATATGGTGTTAAGTTACATTTTAAAGGCTATACATAGCCTCTACATCGTTTCTTAAGGTCAGAGTCTGATATCCATATGGATATTAGGTAATACCTCAGCCCTGAAGTACTCTCATTAATGTCCATGGAACTATGAGCCACTCACTGTGAGTAAGCTAATACCAAAATTTGGCCTTAATGAGGAAACATTCACTTACTGGATTAACTGCAGGCAGGATAGTCTTCTTTTGCCTTTAGCGGTTTATATGGGGGCTGCATGGCACATAGACCCTCATGTGAGCCCAGTGCTCTGGAGCAAACATCAAGCTCCAGAAATACCCACCAGGCCGGCCTTCTCTGTCCTCCCAAACACTATACCTAGGAAAGAAAATGAGAAAAAGCCATTGAACTTGGGTATGGGGAAGGAGGAAAGGGATTAAGCAGAAGAAAGAAGGTGGAGAAAAAGGAGGAATGAGAGACTGAGGGGGAAAATGAGACTGAGGGGATAGAGTTTGCTAAATCCTAAATGATAGGCATCATGGAATTCTACAGTGTTACAAAAACATGAACTAGAGCAGCTGCTCTCATCTTTTATTTAAGGGTAGATAATAGTAGAGCCCCAACCCACACAAGGGCTAGTCTCATCACCTCACACAAAGCAGTGACATATGAAATAGTCTCTCCTGGGTACCCCAGCAGTTAAACTGAGGAGCTAAAAGTATCAAAAGAGCGTTTAAAATATTAATGGAAATCTGGGAAGTGCTAAGCCATTCTTTTGCTATGTGCACTGCAAGGATGAAGAGAAACTAAAACTGGGGCTTTTCTATTGGGAGGGCAGAGAAAGCTTTGTGCATATTCCCAGAGTGTGACATTTACCCCAGGGCATCGGCACACATGAATGTCTATATTCACCATGTGAGCTCTTCAGGACCGGGCCTGTGGCTTTGTGTGTGTAGACAGCACTTAGAATATTGTTGGTGCTGCTGGAACATGGTAATACCTTGTACAACCCCAGAGCTTAGTCGGGGGTCTCTCACTCATCTGCTAAGATGATTTCTAGGCCCACAGGATATTAAGAGAGTTGTTGACATCATTACTTCATCCATATACCTCTGTGGGGCCCAGGCACCATGCTGCTCTCTGTGGCCTTGATTCAGCAAAGAACTTAAGCAGAGACTTCTCTTGGCTTCTGGGGGACTAAGAATGTAAGTGTTTAAAGCAAAATGCAAACTTTAAGAGACTTGCTTTTATTTTGACCCTCTCCCTTTTTACATTTGATCCTTTTCATTCACTTTATCCCAAATACAGATGAAAGATTTCAAGCTCTCAAGAATTTGTTTCCAGTAGCCAGGTTGCCCTGTTTTCCCTGAGGTGAGCCAAAGCGCTGTCTCACAATCTGTCCTCTTTTCTCCATACGCTATAGGTAGACAGGACAGCAGAGCACCCGTCCCCAAGGACAGAGCTGACCTGACATTGTAAAGAGAGGCTTTAGCTCCTACTTCACCCTCATCCATAAGCTACTTCTGATTTCTCCCACTCCCAACCCCTCATTTACCTCAGGGTTAGTGACCCCCCAAAAGTAATTGTCTCCAGGGATCATAGAGAGTATATCCTCTGCTCCCCGCTTCCCAGCTGAGCAATGGGGGGAAGAAGGGGGGTGGCAGCAGCAGATCTGTTTGTTCCCACGGCTCCTCCTGTCTACAGCTACTCTTCATGTCTCTTCCTCTCCAATGCGCAGTACTAAGGAGGAAACACCTTCTTTGGGACCACACAGAGTGGATGATGTATCAGGGATAAAGCTGCTACCAACCGTGGATGAGAATCAGTCAGAGAACAAAGCAGCAGAGAAAAGTGACTGTTCTCTCGCTTCACACATCCCCATGTGCCCAATGTTGCCGGGAATGGTTGGATACCACACTGATGGAGTAACTAGAGGACAAAGAAGCCAACAGTAGCTGGTTTTTCTTCTCTTCTCCCCACTTGGGTAGGGAGTGAAAAGTCCTACAGGAGCTCTTTCCTTTTCCCTGTCTCCCTCTGTGAAGCAAGGAAACCGCAGTAAGCCTCCATCTTCTCCTTTGTGGAGTGGATGGGAGAGCCAATCTTCAACTGTTTCTTCTTTCTTCCTGCTCTAACCATAAGAGATGGAAAGGTGCTGCTTTAGCAACGCATCACCTCCACCCCTGCCCTCCAGATCTGCTTCTGCAACCAACAAACAGCAAGAATATTCTTTGCTGCAAAAGATTTAATTGAGGTCCAGATTTTCAGACAAGCATTGCAGACAATTGTTACACTTCTAGGCTTGGGAGTATTTGATTTTTATAGGTTAATCTTGATTCCACTGCACACACACTAACCAACACAAAATATTTCCATGAACAGTAATCAAAATGTACAGATAAGCCAAGAAAGAAGAGTCTGCTTGAGAGCTGAGAATTTGTATTAAGGACATTAATTTTGTCTCTTTTAACATGTGATGGAGACAATTCTATGTTTTGGTGTTTATAAAACTAACATTTTGAACTGCACTATCTACCTCATTAAATCATTTCTGGAATTTTTGCCCCTGTGAAAAGTTAAATTGATAGTTTAAAAATTCTTGAACATAAATATGAATATTTGTCAACAACATTATTTTAAAAATCAAATTCTGCCAATCCTGTTTATCACAATCCCAGCAGCTGCATTTAGACATGTATTCACGAATTACACCCACTGCACTTACATTCACGAATTACACCCACTGCACTTACATGGTCATCTGCATGGGCACTTACTGTGGATGTGAAAACTATGTTCTGGAAATTGGGTCTTTGAAGTTCTCATTAAATAAAGTTCTTCTCTAGCTCTTTTGACCCTCATTGCTGAGAAGAGGGTGTCACCTTACCTCACTAGCTCTCCTTTCCTCCCTACTAACATCCTTTCCTCATTTCCTTCCATCTTTAACTGTTCCGTTTCTCAGCCCCTCTCTTCTCTGTTCTGGTTAAGAGTGGATTGAGTATGTTTGTAAACAGGACATGGCTAGATTACCCAGATTCAAAAAGGGCATAGAAAAGACTACAAAAGCCAGAAAGCACAGTTATTAAATTATTGATAAAAACATAACCAACCAAAAAATCCATGGGTTTGATTTTAACATCACTCATTCCAAGGCAATCCAGAGCAACACCAATAAAGTCACTGGTCTACGGTCCCAATCAAGATTGAATGTTTCAGATCAAGATTATGTGAAATACTGAAAAAAAATGATCACATACAGTTCATCTCTGGCATTGTGTTATGTTGAAGGTTTACGCTGAAGCTACTGTATTTTTGTGAACATACCAGAACTTCAGATTATGAACTTTGATTGCTCATGGTTTATTCAGTGTTTTTAATAAAGTTCGAAAAGGTTCCTTTCCATCAAATAATGTCATCTTTGATTAATCAATTGAATTTGATCTTTTCTCCATGGGGAACATGAAGCAGTGTATCTCTTTGCCAGTTGTTTATAGGCACCTTCTCAGCTCGCAATAGAACAATTATTTTCTAAGTCAAAGAGCTGTGATTAGAAATGTTAATAAGCCACTTAATAGCATAGCATCTTTCTATTCCCTTACAAACACATAATAAAGAAGTACCACATCATAGCTGAATATAATCTGCATCATTTCAAAATAATGCATTCAAGTGAACTGATCCTTTTGAATGTCCCTTTTTGCATTTACATCTGGAACAGCTGCAGCAGCAGCTCTGCTGGAGTTGACTTTATTCCGTGCTGCAGAATCAACATAAAATCCAGGCTGAAAATTAAGGTGAATAAATTTACCCCTTATATTCAAAGAGATGGGTTTGGTCACAGACAGTATTTCTGACCACAACTCATTTCCAAAAGTAGCATTGAACTTGCTTTGTCATTTGTGCCTTGCCTCACTCCAATACATGCTTTTATGATTTGTTAAATTTTCTATAGAGCCAGAAGACCATTTATTAGCCCGATGGTTATTGTACTGTGCTTCAGTTATATAATAGTCATTATTCTGCTGAATAGTGATGCTTTGTAAGAAAGTTATCCCACTAGAAAGAAATTTAGAAGGATCTCAAATAAATGATTTTGAGAAAGATCAAACTTCTCTTTTTTGCTAGTTGAAAGAAGGAAAGGTCCCTTCTTGCTATAAATCATAAATCATTTGAATAGCCTTTTTTCCCCTAAAGTCAAACTTCTTTTTTCTTTTAAGGGCATTGATAGCTTGGGATTCAAGCAGAAGGGCATGAATAAGAAAGTATAGCTTATTCCTAGACGAGAATCTGACATGCATGCTCTTGGATTAGCAGGATATAAATGTAATTCTACCTGGGGGAATGTGTGTGTAAAGGAAGAATGGGGGAGTGGAGTGGGCTCACACTCACACTTAGTTTCAGGGATTGACAAACATGGGGAGAAGCATTGGCATGGGGGCAGATTCCCAGTTGGTACAGAAATTGTCATGTACCATTTGTGGAGCGATGGCAATTTACCACAGTTGATAACTTGCACTATATATATTGTTCAACTGGCTGTCAGTGACTCAATCAGGCAAACTGTTGAGCACCCCATGGAGGATGCTAAGTGATTTTCACTTCTGCTGAGTTAGAGCAAACAGAAGCTCACAGAATTGGACCTCCAGTTAGCAAGAGCATCACTTCCTCTCCCCTCTCCTCCAGCAATACCTGCCGGAGGTTTCCAGGCATCTTTCTCTTCCAGTCTAATTTAATCATTTCTGTTAATACTACTTTTTTAAAACTATATACATTGAAATGAAAATTCAGCAGCTCCGAATTTTCCAACCAGGATCTGTCTCTCAAACCTCATTGTATCGGGAGAGGGCTGCTGTCCTGAGCTCCAGGAAATTTGAAGTATATGTGACATTTTTTCTGCATGACAGTTCATGGGCAACTGGTAAAGTGCTTAAGGCAAACAACATACAGGAAAAATGAGTAGTCAGCTATCTAATTGAGTTGAGGGAGGCAAGAATATGGGCCACTCTACAAATCATAGCATCTGAGAGTAACAACAAGCAGGAGGAGCGGGTGAGAAAGAATTGCTTATCAGGAGCGAGGGGGCTCAGAAAAACATGAAGTAACACTTTAACCTGTAACATAAATGGCCACATTTAAAGTCACATTGGGTTTTCAGTGGAGAGTCTGTGGATTTACGCCTGTTTAACTGAGAGCAGAATTTAGCCAGTAGACCTTTGTTGACTAACATTATATCATTTCATTAAAAAAAAATTACAGTCTGTCAATTTGTAACACTGGTGCCCCATCTACACTACACGAAGAACCATGTTATACAAACATGATGTGACCAGAATCATGGTTTTTTTTTCTTGTTAACACTAAAGTAAACTGTTATAACATGGGCTGGCCACAACTATGTTATCATTTGGTTCTTTTTGTACTGTCAAAAGGTTCTGATTGGATCAGCCGTGCTTAATACTGGAGTTTTATTTTTCTATTCCATAACATTTCCAAATTTTCACAGAAAGAGGGAAGAACTCAAATATATATTATTAAACACAAAAGTATTTGAATGTTACACACACAGGGTCAGATGAGAAGTACCACTATATAAATGATGACTGAATATACAAAGGTCAATAGTTACTACAAATCCACATGATTCAGAGTGGAGTTTGACCTGCACTTATTACAGAAAGAATCACAGATGTTGTTGGACCAGAGAGCCTCAGTAGCTGGAAGTGGAGCCAGCCAGTGGAGTTTGCAGGCCAGCAGACCCGCAGGGGTGACCAGTTCCCTCCCAACTTCCCCTGGTCCAGCAAACTTCTTTGTCCAGGGCTGATCAGGTCCTGTGGTTGCTGGACTAGGGAGGTCCAACCTGGATCTCTTAAAACAGCAATTTTGATATTTATAAATATTTACTGTCTCAGTCTTACAAACAACAAGCCCATCAGCATCTGAGGAAGTGAGCTGCATCTCCCGAAAGCATATGCCCTAATGCCCTAATACATCTGTTTGTCTTTAAGGTGCCACTGCACTCATTGTTTTTGAAATCAGTGGAAATTTTGAGTGGGAAGCAATTAACTAGTCAGGTCTTTACTTAGCAGTGAAAAAAATGGCCAGATTTTCCTGTCATCTACATTACTCAAACTCTAAAATGGATTTGACAAGCAAAGCACAAGGGTTGTGGGTCTAAAAGTGCAGAGAACACCCTTACAATTTTCAACTAATTTTCATACAGGTATTCCTTTCAATATAAAATTAGCCCCTCTTCCTTTCATGAATGATCAATGGAGGACACTAAAGTATGCTACCACTCCAACAATGAGCAAAATATTTACAGTCAAAAAGCCAAAAATCAAGCTGACATCCCACCCCTGGACTCAACCAAATAAATGCACCTAGTACCACGTATAATCTGGAAAAGAGCTGTAAAATCAGTAGAGCTGGGCAATCAGAGATTTTCTCCAGTGTTTGTAATTTAGTCCTTTCACAATAATGGGTTGAGGTGGGCTGCCTTAAAACTGCTTATCAGGGTCTGGGCTTGGAGAGACTTTTGCTCTCTCTGTGACTAGCAAAGTATCAAATTCGAAGGTATTTAATAATTCTTTATGAGTTTCTCTCCAACCTTGCCCCTCTTTTTTTGGAAGCCTGATTAAATGAGTATTATTTCTTCTTAAGTAATTCTACAGGTCATTTATCTTAGATTTATGGGTATCAATCTACTTTAGAAGATATTAGATAGCTTTAATATTTGACACATTCTCTAAATCATTTACTATGCTTTCCATTTGCACTAGATGATCAGTACTCTTTCCAATATTCGATTTTATTGACAATGCACCATACAGACAGATTATATCGTAATAACGTAAAATAGATGAAAAATTAGGAATTAATAAATCCAAAGGTTCATTCCTGATAGTTAACACAAAGCAGAGGAATAACATAAGGTCTTTCATATCAAAATGTTTTTCACTGATGCAAAACATGTACTTTTTCAATCCTAAATGTAGAATATTCTGATTGATTAAATCCTGAAGTTCTTTTATTCAACTAAAACTCACTGAATTCAATGGAGATTTTGCCTGAGCAGAGATTAAAAACATAAAAAAACAAAACAAAAAACCCTCCTCAGAATTAGTTCATGACCATGTCTTCATATAACCCTATCTAAAGCTCTGGGTAAATATCAGCGGTATCCATTGACTTCAGTGGGAAATCAGACCCTGTATCTGTATTATACATGGAGAACTGCAGTCGGTTAGGAAGAGAGGAAGTGCTTAGGGCCAGGCCCTCTGTTGAGGTAAAATGGCAAATATCCATTGAATATGGTAGAACTACAGCCCTTTATACCAACTACGGCTTTTGGCCTCAGAAGATTTATTTTACTACACTTTGGGTTTTTTTTAATGTTTTGCTACTAATTGAAACAACCTCTTGCCATTGGAGCTGCTAGAAATGTTTCAGAACACAGATTTCTGGCAATACATTTTGTTGAAATCTTAATTAAAATGCCAGGATGAAGTTTGGGCCCCTCCCGATCAAAATCAAGTGGGGATTTTTTTTTTTGTACCTAGTCATAGAATCATAGAAAATTAGGGTTGGAAGAAACTCAGGAGGCCATCTTGTCCTACTCAAAACAGGACCAATCCCAGCTAAATCATCAACAAAACCAGGTAAACAGTCACCATGCCTGTTGCAAATGCCTTAGTACTAAATCACAAAACGTTGATGAAATGATCTTTATGTTTGTGTGAATGTTTTTTGTTTTTCCAAATAGCTGTAGCTGATGTTACAGAACAAAGGAACTGGCATACATTTGTGTAACTGCAAGTAGTAACAGAATTGGAGTAGATACACTGTTTCGCACTTTGCTAATTCAAAGACTCATTGGTTGTGACAAATGCTAAGGCAGGCTCACTCCACTATCAACCCTGGTTTAGCAGCAGAGACTCTTACAAGAAGCCTCATACCTTGGACCTTGACTCCCACTGAAATCAATATTGGGCCTCAGGTGAGGTAGCAAAGCAATGCTGCTAGGTTGCATTACTGCTCTAAACCAACGTGCAATCAGCTAACATTCCGTGGCATAGTACAAACATCCCAAATTCCATATTTCTGACTAAATGAACACAATGCTCCTTGTAATGCAGTGCAGAGGTTATTTTGATTTTGTTCACTAAATTGCTAAATAGGGAAAA